TAGAAATTAGGACTGTAACATATTTGGGGGATGTGACAAATCAACCCATTATAATATATAGATGGAACAGTATTAGTGGTGGTTGAAACTTGTTTGAAGATTCATTGTACAATTTGCTCTTTTATATTGCTGCAAAATTTCCACAATTAAAATTTTTTTAAATTAGTTACCAACCATACAATTTCTAGAATGTTTCTCTTTTCCAGAAACATAAACATCTGGAGGGTGTTTACAAATGTGCCATTCTACCCTCTATCATGGTGATATATATAATTCCCTGCATATAGCTCCCTCATTCTCTAACTCTGGAAACTTTGTGAGACTGCAAATACAAGCAACATTTTTATAGAAATGACTTGGATCATTTTATGAATCTGGCTGAAGAATAAGGTGGGGAAGGACACTTCAGGAAATAAATCTGGAAGGTTGACTTGGGTTCAAAGACTAATGATGATTTCACCCCCATCTATCCTATGACTGGTCCTTTAAAGTCTCATCTTAGATTTTAGAAAACTCTAAACATTATCTGTATCCCTTGCCTACCTGCACCCACCACCATCTAAGGATAGTTTTGATGGTGGTCTAAGCTCATGTTTGCATCCATTTCTACCTTGCGTGTTTGTTGTAGAAATGATCACATTATGTTGTAATTGTCTATTCATTTTTTCATTTCTATGCCAAACTATAAACTCTTTGAAGAAATTAACGGTTTCTTTTCACTACAGGATCTGTAGTATACTGTAGATTACCAGTACCTAGGTTATAGCCTAACACATACTAGGTACCTTTTAACTATTTGATAAATGAATAAAGTAAGGAGCAATGAATACTCTTTGAAATAGCAAGAGGAGCTTTCTATATTAAGAAGGTAAATCCAGTGGGAAATAATACTAGAAAGGTGAGATACTGGGGTCAAAGGAACAAACTGAAGGTCAGAAACAATAGTCACTGTAGAGTAAGGAAATTCTGATCTTGGGTGGATCAGTGATGGCTGTTGGAGGCCTTTCACCTAATGGATTTAAGAGAACTTGGTGACTGCCTAGACTTGAAATGCAGGGGAAAGAAGATTTCAAGATGAAACCAAAATTTATAGAAAAAAATCATTGAAACGGTTATGATGTCGTTTTGAACTGGGGAAAAAAAGCTTTGAAAAGGAATTGTTTTGGTAAAACCCAATGTTCAAGAACCAGCTGCCAAGATGGAAGGTGCTGAAAGATGAAAGAACAAGCCAGACTGATACAGGATTGCACCAAGTGCAATTTATTAAGGACTTACAAACAGAAGTGTGCTTTGGGTGGCAGCAAGGCAGAAAGATGCCCATACCCTGAGGAAAGGGAGTATATACTAAGCAAAAATGTCCTGTGTCTACCTGAAATTTACCTGAACTTTCTCAAAACTATTAACATGTTTAACTACAGTTAAGAAACAGTTCAGTGTCAGTGGCAGGCTAGAAAGAGAAAATTCAGGGTTGTCCTTCACATAGGAGGTGTGGGGATGGAGAGAAGATTGAAGAGACACTCTCAATATAGGAAGAGCCCTGGGAGGATAATCTAGACCTAGTGACAGGAACTCATCATGGCGGTGGTCATTAGCAAGATCATTCTGAGTTCTAAACTTCTAGCCTAAGTTTTAACCTTATTCATGAGTTAGCTCAGGCCTGTGCTTGATTCTTGGAACAGAAGTTGAACTGCACCTTAGGAGACATACTTGTAGAGCTGTAGCAAATTCTGAGTGGATCATGAAGAATTTAGGATGTCCTCAACTAAGACTCATATCTGTTTCAGTGGAAAATATGAGACTAAGGCATTGGCACTTTAGTGCTAGGATGAGTTTACCACAATTGATATGGACTCTTGTAGCAATAATTACTTTCATTATAAATAAAAATGTCCATGTCTCATTTTCCTTATTCTCCTCTAAACCAAACTTTCAAAAACATTTTCCAAGCTGGGAATGGAACCACCATTTGACCCAGCTATTCCCCTTCTCGGACTATACCCAAAAGACCTAAAAAGAGCAAACTACAGGGACACAGCCACATCAATGTTTATAGCAGCACAATACACAATAGCTAGAATGTGGAACCAACCTAGATGCCCTTCAATAGATGAATGGATTAAAAAAATGTGGCATTTATACACAATGGAATATTACTCAGCACTAAAAAAATAACAAGATCATGTATTTGCAGGCAAATGGATGGCATTAGAGCAGATTATGCTAAGTGAAGTTATCCAATCCCTAAAAAACAAATGCCGAATATCTTCTCTGATATAAGGGGAGTGACTCAAAATGGGATAGGGAGGAAGAGCATGAGAAGAAGACTACCACTGAATAGGGAAGAGAGGTGGGAGGGAAAAAGGGAGAAGGGGAGTTGCACGGAAGATGGAAGGAGAACCTCATTGTTATACAGAATACATATATGTTGTTGTGATGAGAAAAAGAAAAAAAAGTGTGTCACATTAGATTGGATAGAGAGAAAGGATGGGAGAGAAGGGGAGGAGTAGGGAGGATAGGAAGGGCAGCAGAATAGAATAGACAATATGATTGATGTATGTACATTCCATGTATGTATTATATGTCAAAATACATTCTGCTGTCATGTATGACTAAAAAAAATATAAATAAATCTTATGGTAAAAAAAAAAAAAACATTTTCCATTTGATGTTTTTGCTTTCTCACTTGACATTGTTTCCTCTGTATACTCCAGTAGGACCTTGTTCCTTACTATTTCACTAAAAGCACTGTACTAAGCTCTACACGGCCTCCATCTTGCCCACAATCAGGGTTTTTAGTCCTGAAGGTATTTGCCGCAATTGATCATTCACTCCTTCCTGGAGTACTTTTTATTCTCTTTGGCTTCTGGAACATCATACTGTCCTGATTTTTTTCTTAACTTCTGAATGTTGCAATAATCAAGTAATTTCTCTCCATTCTTTGTCTTTAAATAAAATCTGTATGCTGATATCTCCTACATGCATATCTTCAGTTCTGACCATTTCCCAGCTCTCCAGAATAATCTATACAACTGACTATTTCATTGTCTCCCTTCAGTGCCTACTAAGTCATAAGGCAGAGTTTTTGCTGTTACCTTATGAGCTAGAATCCAGAGTGAAAAATCTTACTGCTTTCTTCCCAGCACATGTACAAATCTATAAACAATGCCAATAAACACAGGGGAAAGTGTTCCCAATACTCTAGGCCCAGATAAGGAATTAAAATCTGATTGTTTAATTTAGTATATCTTAGGTCGATAGGAACTAGGAAAACATTAAGCAGAGAATTTAAAAATTCTCTTTCCCTTATAATAAGCACCAAAAGTATGGGTGTGGGTGAATATAAAACCAATCAAGGGGGATGTGCTATATGAGAAGAATTCAATACCTTTAGGAATACTATTTTAAAGAGGGAAGAGAAGAAGAGTTATTCATGAAGAAAACTGAGAAAGAGAAAAGTAAAATATATAATGTTCACTAAACAGAAAAAAAATGTGTGAATGTGAGAAAAATGAGAACGCAAATGTCAAATAGGAATCTCAAACATAGTAAGAAGCAAGAATCAGCCAGGTATGGTAGCACATGCCTGTAATCCCAGCGGCTTGGGAGGCTGAGTCAGGAGGATCACAAGTTCAAAGCTAGCCTCAGCAAAAGCAAGGTGCTGAGCAACTCAGTGAGACCCTTTCTCTAAATAAATACAAAAAATAGGGCTGGGGCTGGGGCTCAATGGTCAAGTGCCCCTGAGTTCAATCCCTGGTACCTCCACTTCCAAAAAAAGAGAAGAAGCAGCAAGAATCCCTTCAAACAATATCTAGCCCAGGGAAAAATGACAAACTACAAGCACAACCATTTTTCTGACAAAATTTAATATTTACTGAATTGTATTTTTACCAATTGAAATATTTATTAAATTCTGGTCTTTGCCATTTTTCATGTTCTCCCTGCTTTACATTTTTATATTCTTGCCTGCTGTTGATCTTGGACTCTTTTCAACCCTCCCTGCATAGCTTTTCTGGCTTGATGCATGAGCTGCCTTTCCAGCTCACAACCCTTGGCCTCACGCCTACATTGTGGCACCTCTGTAAATTAACTCGGTAATGCTGTGCGAACTGGCCCTCCCTGACCACCCATGTGCTGTCCTGAAAAGCAGTTTCTACAAGGGGCTTAAAATATTTGTATGTGAATGTATAATATATGAAATTAGCATATACAAATATCTAACATTCTATAAACTAGGAATATGTAAATAATTAAGAAAGATTAATAAAACAAGTTTTGTGCAGAATTGGGTTGCTATCAAGAGGATCTATAGGAAGATAGGATGTGCTGATCTGCTTATGAAGAACACTTAGAAAAGTAAAGTGATCTATAAGGAGAGAAATATAGAAAGATACATAATACAATATGTATGTATATACATACAATGTGTATATAGTGTATGTGTATGTATTTGTGTGTGTATATATATGTATATATATGTGGGTATGTATGTGTATAAACACTCTGGTAAGTGCTAGGATAAGGGGAACAGAATATGAAAGTTCAGAGTCAAGCTAGGACTCATAGAATTAGCTTTTGAATTCAATCTGAAGGATACAAAGGAATTTGGGCATAAAACAAAAGAAAGAAAACTTTACAGATCAGGAATACTTACACAAAGAAAAGGAATGTTGAGATGATACTTTAGGAGTTCTTCATGCACTTTGGATTCTGATCCTAGACTGCACTTCCTAACTCATGTTCTCCTTTTGATATCTTCTGTCTCACTCTCTTTAAATGGGTTCATTTTATTCATTTTTTTCACACCTTGTACTTCTACTCCATTGATTTTTTTTTCCTATACTGCCTAACTCTCCTATTTTTTTCTCTTCCTATATTTTTTGCCAGATACCAGGAGCTTCTTTAATAACATCAATATATATTGGTTCCACATTTGATCCAAAGAGCTAACTTCTGTGATATTACATGAGTCACCTTCAATTTCTTTTTTTTTCCCCCTCCAGCATGGAAGAGCCATCATAAGACCACAAAGTCAACTCAAACACAAGACTCTTCATTTCAGAGATTGATAATGAACAGATCCAGAAGGAATGGACTTGGACCCTTGGACTTGAAATCAGAAAAATCTTGCATATATGAAGGCAAATTAGAGGAAAAACAGGATAAAAAGGAAATTTTTCAGATAGTTTCAGTCACCCACAAAAAAACCTTAATTGTAGAAAGAAGCCATAAAAATGTTGAATTTAGCCAGAACTTCAACCCAAAGTCAGTAGTTGTTAGGCAACAGATAGTTCCCAGAGAGAAACCACCACCAAAATGTGAAAAAAAAGGAAACACTTTGAAACATAATTCAAATTTACCTAATCAGCCAAAAATGACAGCAGATAAACGCTATCAATGTAGTATGTGTGAGAAGACCTTCATTAATACTTCATCCCTTCGTAAACATGAGAAAAATCATAGTGGAGAGAAATTATTTAAATGTAAAGAATGTTCCAAAGCCTTTAGCCAAAGTTCAGCTCTTATTCAACATCAAATAACTCATACCGGAGAGAAACCTTACATATGTAAAGAATGTGGGAAAGCCTTCACTCTCAGTACATCCCTGTATAAGCATCTAAGAACCCACATTGTGGAGAAATCCTATAGATGTAAGGAATGTGGTAAGTCCTTCAGCCGAAGGTCAGGGCTTTTTATACATCAGAAAATCCATGCTGGAGAAAACCCTTATAAATATAATCCAGGTAGGAAAGCATCTGGTTGCAACACATCCCTTCCTGGTCAAAGAGTTCATCCCAGAAAGAAGTCCTATTTGTGTAATGAATGTGGCAACACCTTTAAATCTAGTTCATCCCTTCGTTATCATCAGAGAATTCACACCGGAGAGAAACCTTTCAAATGTGGTGAATGTGGGAGAGCCTTTAGTCAGAGTGCATCACTTATTCAACATGAACGAATTCACACTGGTGAAAAGCCCTATCGATGTAATGAATGTGGAAAAGGCTTCACTTCTATTTCACGACTCAATAGACATCGAATAATTCATACTGGTGAGAAGTTTTATAATTGTAATGAATGTGGCAAGGCCTTAAGTTCCCATTCAACTCTTATCATTCATGAGAGAATTCACACCGGAGAGAAACCATGTAAATGTAAAGTGTGTGGGAAAGCCTTCAGGCAGAGTTCAGCTCTCATTCAGCATCAGAGAATGCACACTGGAGAAAGACCCTACAAATGCAATGAGTGTGGGAAAACATTCAGGTGTAACTCATCCCTTAGTAATCATCAGAGAATCCATACTGGAGAGAAACCCTATCGATGTGGGGAATGTGGGATGTCATTTGGCCAAAGTTCAGCCCTTATTCAACATCGAAGGATTCATACAGGAGAGAAACCCTTTAAATGTAATACTTGTGGGAAAACTTTTAGACAAAGCTCCTCACGTATTGCACACCAGAGAATTCATACAGGGGAGAAACCCTATGAGTGCAACACATGTGGGAAACTTTTCAACCACAGGTCATCCCTTACTAATCACTATAAAATCCATATGGAAGAAGAACCCTAGAAAGTAGATTTGCATGTGTAAAAGCCTTAAACCAAAGCTCATCAGAGAACACATACTTCAAGAGTGATGTAATAGATATTGAAAAAGCCTATAATCATTTAGTGCCCATTAGCTATCAAATCCCATGGACAATCTTGATTATGTAATAGCTAAAAGGAAAGCATTCATGCCTGTCACTTTTTAAAATAACCTGAGAATTCATAAGTGGAGACACTAACTTTGGGCATTTGTAAAATAAAAGGTGTTTGATTTTCCTCTTTCCTACAGCAGTGTAGTCTAGCTATCACATGTGATCATCATAAACATCAAGTGGGTAGGGATTTCTCTGGTTTTCTCATAAAAACACCAAACTCTACACTGGTGATATTTTTTATAACATTTTAGTAGCATATGAGTGAATGAATCAAAGAAATTATACATTTTTAATGAAAAGGACCAAAATAAAAGATTAAAATAAACTGTAAACTACCTCTCAGTCTCTGGGGTTTATCCTTTTCTTGTCTTAATGTCAAAATTGGCGCATGGATTTCATTTAAAATAAAAAAGATTTCAGGGGCTGGGATTGTGGCGTAGTGGTAGAGCACTCGCCTCGCACGTGAGAGACCCTGGGTTTGATCCTCAGCACCACATAAAAATAAATAAACAAAATAAAGATATTGTGTCCATGTATAACTAAAAAAATTTTTTTAAAGAAAGATTTTATTAAAGAAGAGAAAGAAAAATCTGGTCTCTAGTAATTACTGTGAATTGAAAATTTCCACCTAATTTTTGTTTTAAAAAAAATTATTGTTTTGAAATCATTTATTATGAAAGTATACCACTAATATCTTGTGAGCTGTCACCTAGGGGTATTAAATACAAAATAGGAAACTATTTCAATTTTAAAGCTACTGTGAGGTTTTTTTCACTAAAAAAATAAAATAAAATTTAGTCAGCCTCAGTAGTTTAGCAAGGCTCTAAGCAACTCAAAATCTCGAAAAATGTTTCTGTGGTGTGAATGCTGTTTCTCAAAATATTCTTATGTTGAAATTCTAACCTCTGAGGTTATATTAAGAAGTAGGGCCTTTGGGGAAGTGATTAAATCATGATAGTGGAGTCCTTGTGAATGGGATTTGTGCCCTAATAAGATAGTCCCAGACCTGGTGAGGTGGCCCTCATCTGAAATCTCAGCAGTTTGGGAGGCTGAAGGCCGGAGGATCACCAGTTCAAAGCCAGCTTCAGCAACTTAGCCAGGCCCTAAGTAACTTAGAAAGACCTGTCTCAAAATAAAGTTTTTTGAAAAAAGGTTGAGTACGTAGCTCAGTGGTTAAGCACTCCTGGGTTCAATCAACAGTACCAAAAAAAATACAACCCTGGTGTAACTTGCTCAGCCCTTTAATCAGAGGATGCCATCTTTGAACCAGATGACCCTCACCAGACAACCCACTAGCACCTTAATCCTGGACTTCCCAGCCTCAACTGTGAGAAGTTTCTATTGTTCAAAGTTACCCAGTCTTGGATATTTTGTTATAGCAGCCCAAATAGACTGACATTAATTACTTTATAAACTTGGTGTTTTTCCCTCCAAATGCTAATGATCAAACCTAGGGCCTCCTGCATGCTAGGCAAGCATTATATACTACCGAGCTCTATCCTGCAACTCAGTATTGTTTTTTTATCACTGCTTCGAGATGTGTACTATACTACACATTGCAAATTTTAAGAAGAAAGACACAGACCATCTTTCAAGAAACCATGGAGTAGGGGAAGAGAAAGGAGTTGAGGGACTACCAAAGGAATATGGAAATATCTCTCAGTATATAACTGCTTGTTTTAACAGACAAAACAGTTTAATATGACAATATGTTGCAGTGCAAGAATGTTGTAAAATTTTGCACCGGATGAAAAAAGAGCTGTAGGGGACCTGGAGATATCAAAGAAAGCTTTGTAGAGGCAATAAAGGCCTGAGCCAAATTTTGGAATGATAAAAACTCTTGCTAAAGTGCATTTCAAATAAGTAAACTACATATGCAAGACTACAGGTGAGTAATATGGCACATTAGGAAACTTGAGTGTAGAGCTAGTGAGCAGAAGAATAAAAGATGTTAAAGCCTGAGGAGAAGGCAGAGGCCACATAACAAAAGGCTTCATTTGTCATGGTAAGGAACTTGTGTTTTATCCTATAATTAATATTAGCCAAATGTGTGGGGCATGCCTGGAATCCCAGTGACTCTGGAGGCTGAGACAGGAGGATCACAAGTTCAAAGCCAGCCTCAATAATTTAGAAAGGCTCTAAGCAACTTAGCAAGACTGTGTCTCAAATTTTTAAAAAGAGATGAAGATGTGGCTCAGTGGTAAAGCCCCTCTGGGTTCAATCCCGGTACCAAAAATAAATAAAGAAAATTATATTAATATCAAGCAAGGGAATTTGTTCAGCAACAATATATAGAGGATCAATTTAGGAGGAGGTTAAAGAAAGCTAGATAGACTGATGCCTAGAAATTTAGACTATTGTGATTCAAGTGATAAATGAATGAGAATACAAATTCAAGCAAGTGCTGCATGGATGAAGAATAGGAGACAAATAATCATTTATTAGAATAAACAGGGTTTTCCCAGGCAAATAGGAGAGGGTGTTGAGTGACAAGAAAGCTAATCTGGCCCACAGATAAGGCTGCTAGACAGATGTCCTATATTTAATGATTACGTCTTGAATCCTGTACTGTCAGGACACCCGCAATGTATTCAAAAATTTTCTTCCAATTAGTAAAAAATCAGCAGTTAGAGCTATTTTTCTGCCTCTGTAATTGTCATTTAAATCACCCAAGTAGCAACACAAGCCGAAATCACCTCTACAAAGTGATCTGAGCAATCCTTTATGGTGAAAGAGAACTGAGAATTGAAAGTACTTGTTTTCCATCTTAAAGAAAGGATAAGTTTTGGCCAAAGTTCCAAGTTGTAAACAAATAATTATTTATAATTAGATGTCCAAACAGCACACACGCTCCAAAACGAGGGCCAGCCTCATTCCAGTGGACCTCCTTCTGAAAGTTAGGAAGTTAATGCCAACCTCTAGCTTCTGAAAGACCATCATCAGTTTCATGCTTCTGGTCAACAATCAGCAAGGACCTCACTTCAGAAACCATGTTCCTGAAAGGACACTAGTCAATAGCCTATTCTAGTGACCACATTAAACAGTTGAAAAATCTGTCTATTCATAAACGCTCCTGCTTCTAAAAATCCACCAATCCTGGACACTGAACTTCAGGAACCTTGGATAAGATCAGCTTTGGCTTTCTTCAGGGAGACTGTTCTTGCAAGTGCAACTCTCCCTTGCAGGAACACGTGAAGTTCACCTTTTCTGCCTATCAAGTTTAATTTATAGTTGAGTTTGCAAGTCTCAACCATTTCAACAGTTCAACTTACTGTTAATTTACTGTTAGCCTCATGAATGAGACTGTTAAATTCAGTATTTTAAATTCTTGCAATGATTGCTATAATCTATTTTATATTTTTTGGTAAGAACACTTAACTTGACATCTACCCTATTATCTATTTTTATTTATGTATATTTGGATCCCAAATTCAAGTGCAAATTTTTTATTAATTTTAAAAACTTTGGGTTTCTGTTAAATGAAGGGAAAATTCTTTGAAGCTCTTCAATATGCAGTTGGTTATTTAGAATCAAAAACAATGACTAGTCAGATGTATACTCCAGCATACACTAATAGCTAAGCTAAGAGGTATATGATTTCCTCAACTTGTCCTGTAGAAATGGATAATGTAACAAATTTCCTGATTTAAAAAATTCGGATGAAAATAAAATAATCACAGCAGAAGTTGTAATGACCTTTCACACTATATTTCATCTCCTCAATCTTTCCAGGACAAATGACCAGCTGAACATACCAAAGGTATTCTCTGATTTTGAAACTGCAAACAAATTTTCAAGTGCCAGAAAAAAAAATCTGCAATAATAAAATGTAATAGCTCTTCTTACTATTATTGAGATTATTAAGGATTTAAAATGCCTCATCTTTTTTACAAATAGCCCCATGAGGGGAAAAATAAGGGGAAAAATCCCTCTGAGTGATGCTTTACTCCTGAAAAATCTTGCTTGGGAGGCTATTTTATTCCTTCCAGATGAGACCTCAGAAACAATACAAAATTTTTTTCAAAACTCATTTAATTGAGTTGAGTGAAGTAAAATTGTACCACTTTGGTTGAGAACAAATTTAGGTAAATGCATAAAAGTGCAAACAATTTTTATTCAAAATTAAAGCAAAGTATAAAAGATTCTGTGAAAGGTGTTGGCTGTCCTTCCTGTATTCTGCATTTCTGCATAATGCTACACAGACACCTGTTAGCCTTCTATTAACACTGGACTAATCATCTGGAATTTGTTTCCTTCAGCATTTAAACTGAGCAGTTACAAGGATTTTTGTTATTATGTTGCCATTCAGAATTCCTTGATTCCAAACTTATTGGGACTTAGAGTTTCAGCCCTGATATGTAAACATCTTGGAAGTCATTGCTCCTCCTTACAACAGAAAAAAATTGGTCAAACTGAAAATCAATGACAGTTTCTTTCTGTTACAGGAATGGGACCTTCTAAAAAACTGAAGCCACATGAAGACATCCCCACTTTGAAGCACTGACTCTTGTGATCAAATCAGAAAGATTTTAGACATGTTGCTCAGAGTAACAGGCAGTGAGTTTATTAGGACTAGGAAAGGGGACATCCTCAAGGGAAAGGGGAACAGTGTGCCTCTCCTGTACTTCAGTTTTATTTGTGATTCCACAGAAGTTTCCAGAGAGTCCCGCCAAAGTCCATCTCTTGACTTTTGACTGACAACAGATTGACATCAGACTTTCAAGTCCCCACTGCCATGACAACTCTAGGTCACCTTGGCCCATGCTGACAGTTCTAACTTGGATATTTAACCATAAATTCTTAAATCCAGGAAGGGCCGCAGGTAAATTGCGACATTATTTCAGGCCTGCATTTCTCCTGCAGATAACAGATAGTTTGTTGAGGAATGTGACATATCCTGTCCACTTAAGCCAGGTAGAGCTTCAGGTAAACTGTTTCTTGGAAAAGAAAGCATGTGGGGGTCAGCACAGTGGGCCCATTTTATAGAATTATTCCTTTATCCTCATGTTCCCATCACTGGCATCCGTGTGTCCCCAGTCACTTCTATGTTTCTGAGAACTGAGGTCACAACACTGTAATCTGGTGATACAGGCATACCCAGAAATAGCTGAAATCCATTTGTTTGGAGCAGAAACTACTGGAGCCTTAAACTGGTGGGAAAACTTAAATGATAATTTTGATGAATTGCCAGATGTTGAGTATGTAACAGATTGAAAGTGTGAGAACCTGCTGGGTCCCACAGTCTTATGGGATTCCACCGTACTTCCATTGCAAACTAGACTGAATTCCAGTTGATTCCAGGAATCCAACTAGATTCACATGGAAATACCAGATCTGCAGCG